CGCCTGACGCCATAAAGTGTAGTCGTAGTCACACTTTCAGCACTTCGGAGAGCAGCAGAGAGCGCAAGGCAACGAGAAAAGCGGGAAAAGTTCAAAGCGAAGATCTAACTTTAGACGATCTAATTCACATCTGTCTTTTGAATAGCATTCTATTTATAATTTATAATTTATAATTTATAATTTATAATATTCTGTATTTTCTCTATATATGTTTTACATATGATTTTTATTCTTCGAAATGTGTGAAATTACAAAGTTATTAAATTTTGTATAAACATAAAAGGTAAGGTCTTTTTTACAAAGTAAATAATAATAATAAATAAAAATAAAAAGAAGCATGTGAGCTACAAGGTCTTTATGAGTAAAATCTGTTCAATAATTCATGTATATATTTAAAATATATCGAACGAATTGTTGAATAAATTTTTTGTATAAATATCTTGTGATGACTTACTATGCTTTTTTTTTATTATTTAATTATTATAATACAGGAGATAGCTTAAGTTCTTTAGAGAGGTGGGGTTCATTGAATCCATTCAATATATAAATCTCTTTATCAAAAATGTCAAACAATTCAAGTTTTTTAAATATTATAATGTTTGCAAATTTGGATTATTTTTATTAAAACATACTAATTTATTAAACATAAGTATTCATTTCTTTGAAATGCAAATTATGCTATTTTGGTTCCTTAGAATTAATTAGTGCTTTTTAAATAACATAAATTAAATCGATCTTATAAAGTCTCAGCGTTAGTAACTCTGTTTGGCATCAACTCAGGAGAATTAATAAATAAAAATTCGTGAAAATTTTGCACAAGACGGACATTTACGCGGCGTTCTCGATTGGAAACGTTCATTACGGTTCGGTAATCAGTCGCGACGGTATTAGTTCTTAGACGGGAGAGGAGGATGTTCACCTCTATTCGTAGAAACTTTCTTTCGCAGTTATGAGTTACGTAAAAACACCGCCGCGCCATGTCGAGTAGAAGCTGCATAGAAACGGCGGGAGAGCGCGAAGTTACGCGCACAGGAAGTGAAATAGCGCTATGCGAAGCCAGAAAGAAAGTTCTCGCTCGGTGTTTTCACTTTCATGGAAATTGCGCGCGCCTCTCTTTCTCTCCGCGATAGCATTACGCGAATTAGTCACGAATCATCAGCGTTCCTCGTTGCCCGCGGACAAGCAGCCTTGCAAACCATCAATCAACTTCTTTTTTAGAGAGAGAAAGAGAGAGGGGAAGGGGAGAGGAAGGGGGAAACTTTTTTAATTTCTTTGTTTCTGACACATAAACATTTCCGTTTTCTAAACTTCTAATTCATATATTTTTTTAAATCCGAAAACTTTATGCGCTAATAAGTTTACAGATAATTTCTCTATTAAATTTTTGATTTTGCGAAGTCGCGGTAGCTCGTCTCTCCTACAGTACGAAATATTGCAGCAATATTATTTTGAAAGATTGTAATATTTTATAAAACATTGCTGCAATATTATAGCAATATTCCTACGCAAAAATAAAATATTGCTATAACATCATGCAATATTTCAATATTTATTCTAGTTCTATTAATTGCTAACATATTATTGTTTAATACCAAAATACATACGATAAAATTATGATCAAAAAATATTCGGGGGCCTAGAAAGCACATCCAAGGTTATGTTCCCGAGTGCCACTCAGGTATCATTCCATCTTTGTTATTTACTAACACAAGCATGACGTGACATCCAGAGAACATCTGGAATCCGAACAAAAGGACAGCGAATCTCCAGAGAAACTTCCTCACCCGATTTGTCTACTCCTTCATATAGGACATTTTCTTCTTATGAGAAGCATCTCTAATGGTGGGACCACGTACTTATTTATTGAATTGTAATATTGCAATAATATAATGCAATATTTTCTACAAAATATTAAAATTACAATATTTTGCAATATTGTTTGCAATATTTCCAATAAAATTATTATAATTTAAATATTGCAGAAATATTGCTGCAATTTTTATAATTATATTGCACACTATTGAAATATTATTCCTATAATATTTCGTGCTCTAGAGGCTTTCATTTGTATTTAAATACTTTCTCAAAAATGAAATGCATAGAAATGTATATAATCAACCTTTTCAAGCTTATAGCAGTGATGCGTATGCAAAATACTCAAATTGTTCCCTTTAGAGTAGTATATTTTTAGAAATCAATTTAATAATCAATATTCTTTTTTATAATTTTGAATAGTGCACAAAAATTGTTTATTATAGGTTAGAGTAGGAGCTATAATTGTTCAAAATAATCTCGCGAAAGCGCAGATAGAACCATTTGTGAATTATAAGCGCAATCATCCTTAGATTGTACGTCAAATTTGCGTTTCATAAAGGTCGAATTACAGTTTCACCGCCCTTAGGCAGTGAAATACTTCCCAATCAACTCTCCAATAACCATATGATTGGAACAAACAGTCAAGAAAAAAGGCTCCTGCATTTACTTTCGTACTCAAAGTGTGTTGATAAAGAAATCAAAGAGAGAGAGGAGGAGTGGGAGGGGGAGGGGGAGGGAGAGAGAGAGAGAAAGGGAGAGAGGGAGAGAGAGAGAGAGAGAGAGAGAGAGAGAGAGAGAGAGAGAGAGCTATTTTTTATATTTTTCCGTATACTTAATATTACATCGTATTTAAGCTTATACGGGTTATACTATACACGGACGGCAAGAGAAAGTTAACAATATTATCAATCTACATTTTAACCGCGTTCAAATTAGAATTCAAACGAAGTGTGAATGCGGTACGATGCACCGGAAATTATTGCGAGATAAAGAGATCTCGTTTCGTGCATAATTAATGATTTCATTGCTTATCTTAATTTATTAACAGAGAAATTAAAAGCTTTTATAAGAACTGCCGATATTGCATGTTTGTCATATATGTATATTTCGCTTCGATTTATCATAAATGAAGAAATACTGAATCTATTTTTTAAACATGAACAAAAGTACACGTTTGCATTTGAAGTAGATACATGTTTGAAATTAGGTAAAAATAAAAAAAAGTCTCGTACAACAGATATGGGATCACTAGTATTGTTTATCGTGTCAATAAATATGAAGATTAACAATAACTTTTAATTTTATCGTAAATTGATAATAAAATAAAATGTGATATCAGACTAAAATCATCAACATAATGAAACGTGTGGAAAAACATGTTAAATATATAAAGCATGTACAAACCGAGCTATTTTACAAACTGTGATTAACTTATCTCCTAACTTTGTTCTATTATAAAATTGATATTTTATTTTGCTGTATCATTTATTAATAATAAGTTTTTTATTGTGTTTTTTAAATACAGATAAATAAAACTAAAGATTATATCAAATTTTTATAATAGATGCAGGAAAAAAAATGTAAAAGTATTATGTGTATTTATTTTACTTTTCAAACAAATTTTCATGGTGAGATGAGAATTTTTAATAGATAAAATTTTTCCGTATTTAAGTTTTAAAACCTTCAAAAATTACATTCAATAAAGATTGATTTTTCAATTTTTAATATAAGTTCTTTACACACATTTAATGATAAATATTTCTTTTTCTTTATCATTGTTATGCGAACTCTTATGAACACAATTCCATTGGTAATGCATTCTTTAATACACAAGGTATTTCTAATAATAAATATTTGAGGCCTACCAATGTTAACAATTTCGAAAGATTTTAAGACTTACCTTTAAATATATAAAAAGTGTAAAGAATAAATAATTATTATAATCTTCCAGGATGGTGTAGATTTTGGAAAACTATATGTAATTTTAAAATCTCTATATCTATCAAAAATCTGAACAATATAAAAGAAGAGTGACTAATAGTGCATTCCTTGTGATGCTTGCAACGGATCATGGAATCATTTCATCCTTGTTGTTTATCAAATATTAAGAACAAATAGTACTCGCGAGCATTGCGAACATTAAATGGAACGCATTCTAAATTAAAATAAATATATTATGCATTTAAAATTTTATCAAACTGACTAATATTAGAAAATTAAAATTATTTATAATTTTATTTTACGACTCTTGCAAAAAGATAGTTAACGTTAATGATACAATGAGCACTATGAGTTTCAAGTTGTTAAATTGGAAATAAATTCTATCTCTCCAAAGATTAAAGAATTTATCATAATTATTCTACATGCGATTATTTTTGTGAATGTTGGAGCTATTATTAGTTACAGTATAATTTATTGCTTTGTTTTGATTATCTAGCAAACGATTATCAAAACTGCAGTTCCAAATGTATGAATGCTATAAATAGATACAATTTGATTTTGGCTTTGAATTAATCTACATATCTAAAAAGGAACCTTGATTCAAATTGAATAAGTCATTTGTATGACTTGCAGTATCACGAATTGTTGTTTCAGTCTTGTGGAAAGATTGAACGAAACCACTACCCAACTATCAATGGCATTGAGGTTAATCCCAATCCGCAAGATGTTGCGCGAATCTCAGATAACGGCTTCCCTGACTAATATTAGATTATCAGATCCCTCAAGGGATCCGAAATAACAATCCTGCGATATATCCTTATAACTAAGTCTCAATGAATATAAGTGCGAGAAGCGATACACTCATTCTTAATTTCATGTTCCGGAAATTAGTGCTGTTAAATTTAATGAAGTCTTATCATCAATAAATAACCCAAAATAATCGTTTTAAAGTTCCTAAGAAAAAAAAAGTTTAGATATAAATATAAATTTAAAAATAATATATTTATAATATATAACTTTTTTGTAATTATTACCTTTTAAAATATATACAGCGTGACATGATAGCCGCCAAGTGGCCGATAGCTTAATTAAAATGTTTAGATTATATGTATCTACGGATCTTATATCTGTATTTATCCTTAATATTTATGTTTGCATTACGAAAAACCATTTGGAGTTTAGAATTAATCACCTGTATTTTTGTGCACACAAATTTTGAATCTAATTGTGAATTATGCTTTTAGGTGAACAATAGCGTGTAGAAAAGAAAAAGGAATTGAACCATTTGAGTGCGACATACGAGGGAGACGAAAGAAGTAGGGAAGTCTTGGAGGAGGTTAGATGTTAGAAGGTGCGGGGGTGGCTAAAGTGGCCCCGCCGCTGGGTACGGGTCCCGATGCCGGTCCCCGTATCGCAAACGCCCACATTAACCTCCACCCTTGTACCCAAGGAGGAATCAAACATGCCCTTCATAGACGACGAACTATTTTGGTATTCTGACAATGACGGAAAAATGGATTTAACCCAGTGCCTTCAGGTGAGTAATCAGTAGTAGATTTAGAATTTGGGATTCTCGAAGAGATTTCTGTAATATTCATGAAATTTGGTAACGCCTGGAATTTATAGATATAAATTGAATTTCGAAGAATTTGATGAAATCCGAGAAGAGTTATGAATCTAGATTTAGAATTTATTGGTTTGTGAAAATATAAGATCTAAATTACATAAAATATCCGAGATACTCAAAATCTATGATTTATTATAATTCTACAAATGTTGTATAGTAGCGAAATAAATCTATCTATATAATCATAAGATAAGAGAATTGATCGAATCTCTATCTTTATCTTCAAATTTTTCATGTTTTTAGCAGAGCAACACGGGCCAATCGGTAGAGTTTTCTACGATGGAGCTAAGTGCTCTAGTAGGAACTCCAACGGCATCGAATGTGCCGGTGGAGGAAGGTGCGGGTATGTCCGTTGTTGCAGGGGAGGAACTTTTCGATCCCCTAGACTTCCTAAGGGAGCTCGAAGCAGAGGCCAGCCAACCCACCTCCACCACAACGCCTTCTTCCTACAAAAGACAGAGGCACAATATCGCTGCCGCGAATCCTTTATTAGCAGGTGAATTGTATATTGTTCTTTATTCATATAACAGCAATAAACCTTTTTACAATGTAGACGAATTGCAATACAAATAAAATGCTTTCCGTTTAGTGCATAAATTCTATATTTATAAGTAAGACAAAATACAATTCTCGCAAGCAATTAGAATATATGTATGCTCATACATATGTAGAATCTACATATATGTATCAAGTGGAAAAGTTATTTTATATGTTACAATATCTATAAAATAGTTTTTAGTTACCTTATACATATGTGTGCGTGCGTGCGTGCGTGCGTGCGTGCGTGCGTGCGTGCGTGCGTGTGTGCGTGCGTGTGTGTGTGTGTGTGTGTGTGTGTGTGTGTGTGTGTGTGT